TCATATCAGTAATAGTTACAGCTACACAAAAGATGGTCAGTGCTTCTGCCACCAGTTTGTCAAAGATAAGAACAGGACTATCAAGGACACAAATAAGGAATAGGACCCGACGCCTCAAAAAAAGCTTACGAGAAAGAAACCTCAGAAAGAAAAAAAGAAACCTCAGAAAAATACTACAGAGGTGAGCCCTCCCCTTGAGCGGCAACCCTAGCTCAAAACAAAAGGCTAGCCGACCCCTTGGTGGCTCCCTTGCTGAACTGGTTCAGCGGCCAATTTAGCACCCAAGTGAGCCCCGCATTACACCACCTCGGACGAGATACAACTAGAGTACAACCCATTGTCAGATACAGCCCTAGAAAGAAAAATCTGGATGTCGACAATTGTCCTAACAGAAACACAAAGAAAAAACTAGCATGTATAGAAGCCAAGCATTGAAACAATACAAATGAAAAAAAGCCTGTCACTAGCACTCAATTCAATCAAATGGAGAGAAAACTATATAAAAATATCTAAAGAATTTTAAAACCCATTTCAAAGACACTCAAACTCTTAAAATTACTGACAATCAATCCTTACATTCCACTATTCATCAACAACCACCAAGTCTACAACACTGACTTTGACCTATATAATCAATGAAACTTATTCATATAAAATGATGTTGAAATACTCCAATCACACAGACGAGAATCATCAACCACAAATGATGATTTTCAAAAGAGATTACTAAGGCGCAGCCCCCAATAAAACTAAAAATTAAACATCTGGATTCTTCTAAAGGAAAAATAGTTCCGACTATGTCACTTATAATTAGTTAGTGACGTCAATATCGATAATGTACTAGAGTGTCTTTCCTTTACTACCTTTGAAAAGTTGCCACTAAAATGTTTCTCCCATGTTTTGCTCGAAAGTATAAACTGGTTAGTCAAATATAAATGTAATTTTTAACTCAGTTTGCATGTGCCTAAAAGCCTCTAAAATATTCCTAGCATTGTTGAAGGCTGAGGAAAGAAGAGAGATGGTCTTTATAAAATTTTAGTAAAAGAATTTTAGCAGATGATGTTGGAGTTAAAAATTTGGAGCTATGTATGACATATATAGAGCTCACTCAAGGTCTAAGAGAAATCTTTTAAATAATCACTGATCCTGCAGCAGCCAAGGATTTTGGCCAAGTGACTTGATTACATAATAGTCATATCAATGCAATAGAATATAATAGAAATCTGTCATTTCAACTTCAACTCAGCCATAAGAATTTGGAGACAAAATAATGAGCTTTTAAATAGTCATTATTCAAAAAATTTTATAAATGCCTCTTGTTACGAACTCAAATTACTCAATGTAAAGAAAACTACTAGACCTGTTAAATAGAAAACCAAACAAATCGTCGTAATTCTTGCTGAGCCTAATTGCTGTAAATTTCATAAATATTTGGAGGCTAGATTTATCAAAGAGGTACAATTTTCAAAATAATTTGTTAATACTGTTATGGTTCAAAAATCCACTTTAAAATGGAAGGCGTCTATATATTTTCCTAATCTAGACTCAGTCTGCGTCAAAAATGGTTTCCCACTTGACAATTTTTTTTATTTTTTTCCCAATTCCCAAAATCAATGCACAAGTCGACTCTGCAACAAAATTTCTAGCCAAGAACGTTCTTGATGCCTTTTCAAGCTATCATAAAATTAAAATGCATCCAACTAATTATGAGAAACAACTTCTATCATTGTCGATGGTTTGTAACAACATCAAGCCATTCAATCTACAAAAAGGTTATTACAACTTATCAAAGAAGATGGATTAAGTTTTTTGGGAGCAAAATGGGAGAAATTTTGAAATTTAATAACTTACTAGTAAAAAGTAAAACTCTAGCACATATCTCAGACTTAAAAAAATATTCACAATACTAAAATATATAGCATGGGTCTCAATCTACTGTAGTGTATCATTGAAAAATCAGTCTAAGCTATATTGATTACTGTATGATGACTTTGATCATATTTTTAAAAAATCAAATCAAGTCATTATTAATCATCTATTGAGAACAATTTTTTAAAAACATGATCACTCAAAGAGACTTCAAAAATGTCTCAAGTGAAATCAAAAATTTCTTACATACCAAAAATTGCCATCAAATTACAATCATTTTCTACTTTTTTGTCAAACTTTACCTAACTGAAAAAAGACGGCCTTGGTCCTCTATGCTAATGGTGCCCATGGTACACAAGGAGTTTGAGTTAAGATGATACTGAGAAGTCTAACTAAAATGGTACTCACATAGTAAAAATTTACTTCCAAATCACAAGCAATCAGTCAAGTAAGAAAGTTAAATGCACAGTGGAAGTAAAATATATAACTATCCATTTACACTCTCAACTTCTTATATGAATACTGTGAATAGACAATATAAGCCAAGAGAAACTTTATGCAAGGATACACATCCAGTGAAAATTTAGGTCGACAAAATTGAATACTATATAGAGTAAATACCCAGAAAAAAAATTTAACTTGCAAACTACTCTCTAAATGAAAATTCTAAAAGGAGATTAACTTTGTCATTATCACGTCCTAGCATAAGAGGAAAAAAATGTAATCAAATTGAATAGAAGGCGACTTAAGCTGGGTGGATCCATCTATTGAATACTTGAAACCTGAAAATTTTGTCTGTTGTCAAAGATCAAATGAGATTCAAATTTGAGGTTGTGCAACATTTACTCATTCATGGGGAGAAAAATTAGAAATCATTCACTTCCACCAACCTCAGGCGTACTAGTGAAAGTGAAACTGAAGGAATTTTCTAAGTATGCTCATTCATGAGAATGTATAAGTCATTTAGGGGGACGAATTTTAACTAAAAAAATTTTTAAGGCATGAAAACTTTTGGTCGACTCCAAGAAAAAATGAAGAAGAATTTTCTAAATAATACATTCAATGTCAAAATTTTGGTCGGATGTAAGTATAGCCTTCCTATAAGCTACAACAAATTCCCAATCATTCACCATTTACTATTTAGAGAATAATAGACTAATTCAAGAATTTTCCTCCAAAAAGTAAACAAAGAAAATTTATATATCTTAGAAATGACTGATTATGTCACAAAATAGATTGAGACAAAAGCCCTAACAAAAATCATTGTTGATGTTATTTGCAACTTTATCTAAATAGACATAATTTGTCAACATTGTATGCCAATGATATAAATCACTAATAATGAGATATCACAGCACCCTTTGATAAACAAACTTATTAATTTGTTTCCAACTTCCATTGGACAAATATATCTGGAGATCACAAAATATTTAAGAAAAAACTATGTAGACTGAAATTTCAAACCTCTTATCACTTGAAACATTTAAAACAGTTGCATATGCCAAACACAAGCGGTGTTGCACGAGAATTGAAGCCAACATGTTACCATTGTAGATACATCTCAACAGACCAAGTTTACGATAAAAAATTGGAACCAGTTTTCCATTGGGTTTAGAGGCTCTTGTGCCTGCTCCTGCCAATCATGTAGTAGCGGCTACTACTTCACCCCCATGTACTTTCATTGATCTCGACCCATTTACTACAGCAGCTCATCCCATAACTCATAGTTATAACCACAATGATGGTGGTGATGTTCTATAAATATATGACGTAAATTAGAGTAATCAAAATGTTAATTCCTTGATAGATCAGAGGTTTCATATTAAATTTATCAGGCTGGACAGATATTAGAAAAATTTATCATCACTCTTGTGTTGTCTCCAAATTGTAAGATAGGAATCCAAATGAGACTTTTTGTAATTATATTTACCCAGGGATTCAATTCCTTAATCTTTCACATTTCATGTACCTTGCTTACATACTTATATATTTTTCCCAGACAATTATTGTTAATTGACTTCAATATACTCATATTATTGTTTCATTATAATAGTTTGACTTCTTAAGAAAAAAGCACTTACAAGTGGGCATTGATGCAATTATTCAGTTATTATTTTGTTAAGTTTGCTGGTTTCATACATGTAAGATACTTTGAGAGATCTTCTCAAGGTTGTTAGTATGGTTGCTAAACCTAGAATGCTAGTTATCATATGCTCCATCAAACATGTATAATCTTCATTGAAGGCCTTGAGGTTTTAACATCTTGAAAATTTAAAAGCTTTCGAGAGTTATAAAATATAATTTTTTCGAGGATGTCTTGATCTCTAACCCCTGAAATTTTCAAGAAAGTCCTTTGTAAATATTGGTGAATGAGTATATGATAGCATAGATGTGTTGAACTTTAATATATTGAACTTTCAAGCGCATATTGTGAACCATGAAAGAACAAGGAGTTAGTGAAAACTTTACCTTTTTAACTTGTTTTAATTTTTTTTTAATTAGAGAAAAGATGGTAAATAAAAAGCTTCCACATTGTGGAAAAAGGTGACAAAATTTAGTATTTAATTAAGATCAACTTAAACTGCCTAAATTTAGTGCAAGTCCAATTTTAATGTTAATATTATTGAATAAAGAAGAGTAAAGAAACATCAAACGACAAACAGGAAAAATAACAAAGACAAAAGGGAATAAGAAATGAAAGATTGGCTAGCTTAACATAAGCAAACAAACAAAATCACTGGGTCCTAGAAATCACAACAAACGACAACAATATGTAGGAAATTAATTTTCATTAGTAATAAAGAAAAGAAAAGTCTATAATTTGAAGTAAATAAAACTTCACAGAATTAGAAGATTAGCTATCCTAACATTAGCAAACAAAGAAATCACTGGGTCCTAGGAATCACAAGATGGAGAACAATTTGCAGCAAAATACTTTTCAAAATTATGTCTTAAAGAGAAGATAAAAGTGAGGAAAATAAAACATTGCAGTATTGGAAGACTCACTGGTCTAACATAAACAGAAGGAGAAATCATATGGTCCTAAGAATAACAAAATACGACAGCAATATGTAGAAACAAATTAATCAGATACAAAACCTCAGCAGTAGGATCATTATATTTCAACATACATCCAGGACAATGCATATATCTGGTTTTATATTGGCCTTTTCAAGACTTTGTGCCTGTGAAAAGCTCCTGGGATATCCATCAAGAAGCCAGCCTCTCTCTTTTACATCGGGTAGCGAAAGTCGGGTCAGCACCATCTATTATAAAAGAAAACTACATTAGAATATTTAAAAGAGGGGATTATGTAAGAGTAAAGCAGGGACCAACACATCAGAAGAAAAATAAATGGAAAGAGAAAGGGTATATACATCTGTTACAATTTCATCTGGAACAAGCATGCCATTATCCATGTATTCTTTTGCTTTGTTTCCAATTTCAGTCCCGGATGACACTTCAGCCCTCAATATATCCCCGGTGGAAATGTGAACTAATCCATACTGAAAGAAAGGCATATAGTTATTCAAAGAGAGCTATTTCATGGATTCGTGAGGACTTTTGAGGGATAACCATAAAATTTCTTTGAATGTATTTATAAATTGTTGATCATGTAACTATAACACAGAAACAATGTGAGATAAATGCATGAAAACCACAGAAAAGTAAGCATTCATATAATAGAATATTGCGCATCCAGAATTCAGAATCTCATTTAACGCAATAAACAGTTCGACATGCAGTAAAATAAGAAAGCGAGAAAGGGAGAGAGATAATCTCACAATGTCGAGGATAAGAAGAAAAAAAAGGTATTGAAGCATCAATATCACTTAAAAATGGCCCGAGCAATTGCAATTTTCCACACTCTGTTTTGGATTTCTGTTAAAAGATTTAATTCAAATTACAATTTATTGTATTTTCTCTTATACAGATATTATTCTCCTTCCTTATTTATATCATGTGATATCTGTACTAAATCTTGCTTAATTAGTCTTGCAATGTAATAGGAAATTATTTAAACTTATTTAGTTAGTTTCCTTATCTAAGGAGAAGGGACTCCTATATGTAAAGACAATTTGAATTGAATCAACAAGAAGAAACGAATTTTCTCTTCACTTTCTATTTTTTATGGTATCAAAGCAGGATAAAAAAAATAAAAAAAATCCCGGAGAATCCTGTCTTTCACGTGAAGAAGATCGTCTCTTGGTGACGGAAGCAGACGCTTTCCTTCTTCAAACCGAAGAAGGAGAGGAAGCACGGGCGACGCTGAAGAAGGCGAGGAAGCACGGGCGACGCTGAAGAAGGAAATAAGAGTCGGGATCGCAAACGACGCCTTCTGTTTCGCCGCTGCTGCTCTAATCTGCTTGGCTGCCCACAAGCTCGCGATTCGCAAAATATTACCTCTCCACTGTCCCCCCACTTACAAAGCCGCACAATTTTTATCATGTCTAAAAATACAAATGATTCTGCTACTTCTACCCAGCCTTTCACCCTGTCATCTACTTTCGCACCACCCTCCTCTTGAACCACCATCGAAAATCATCCAGCCCAGATCACCACAATCCGTCTCAGTGGTAATAATTATCTATGCTGGTCACAATCGATGAGGATGTACACTAGAGGAAAAGGGAAGATAGACTACCTAACAGGAGAAGTCCTTAAGCCAGCCGCTACAGATCCATCCTACGCAACCTGGGATGCAGAAAATTTCATGATAATGACATGGTTGGTAAACTCTATGGAAGAAGAGATAGGCGCAAACTACATGTGTTGCTCTACTGCCAAAGAACTCTGGGAGAATGTGGCCCAAATGTATTCAGACATGGGTAACCAATCTCAGGTTTATTAACTTTCCCTGAAACTTGGTGATATTCATCAAGGTAATGACTCTGTCACAAAATACTTTAATTCTTTAAAGAGAATATGGCAAGACCTTGACATGTTCAATGATCAAGAGTAGAGTGTCCTGATGATGCTAGTAGATATAAGACCATTGTTGATGCAAATAGAATTTTTAAATTTCTTGTTGGACTTAATGAGGAGTTTGATGAGGTTAGGGGCAGAATTATTGGAAGAAGTCTCATGCCTTCAATCCATAAGGCTTTCTCAGAAGTTCGCCGCAAAGAAACTCGAAGAGGAGTAATGCTCAACAAGAAATCCACTCCTATCAGCATACCTGAGACTTCGGCATTTCAATTGGAGGCTCATATCAGCAAACAGATTGTTCCATATTCACAGAAGAATGAGGAGAAACCACGGGTGTGGTGTGATCATTGCAACAAGCCACGATACACTAAAGAAACCTGCAGGTACCTCCACGGTAAACCTGCAGATTGGAAGCCAAGAAACAAGCGCAAGCCACCTACTGCTAATATGCAGATTGGAAGCCAAGAAACAAGCGCAAGCCACCTACTGCTAATATGCAGATTGGAAGCCAAGAAACAAGCGCAAGCCACGTACTGCTAATACTGTTGTCGAACAAACCAGCCCATTTAGCAAAGAGCAAATCGATCAACTCCTGAATCTGCTAAACCCCAGTTTGGCTACTGGTACTTCAAATTGTTCAATGGTATATGCAGGTAGATAACTAAACCCTTGGATTATTGATTCAGGAGCTTCTGATCACATGACAAATTTACACTATTTATTTCATTCATGCATCCCATGTTCTAGCCATGAAAATGCTCGTATTGCTGACAGTAGTTTTTCTTCTATTGTTGGAAAAGGATACATTAACCTGTCCAAAATTAACCTGTCTAAAAGTATAGGTCTTAAATTTGTACTCCATGTTCCGAAACTCAAATGCAATCTTCTATCCGTCAGCAAACTTTCAAAAGATTCTAATTGTCGTATAATTTTCCGTAAATCTTCTTGTGTTTTTCAGAACCAGAAGTCAGGGATGATGATTGGGAGAGCTAAAAAATTAGGAGGACTTTACTACTTTTAGGAGACTGTTCCTAGGAAAAAAGATGTTGAAGCCTACAGCAGTATGAGGTCGAACTCTGCATGAGAGAAAATAATATAATCTCATCTTAGACTAGGTCATCCCAGTTTTTCTTATTTAAAACATTTATTTTCTAATTTGTTTAAGGGTGTTAATTGTGTTTTACTTCAATGTGAAATATGTTATTTGGCAAAGAGTCATCGCATAAATTTTGCTCCAAAATCATACTATCCTTCAAAACCTTTTTACATGATTCATAGTGATATTTGGGGACCTTCAAAAGTCAAAATATTATCTGAGAAAAGGGGATTTGTGACTTTTATTGACGATCACACCAGAATATGTTGGGTTTATCTTATAAGCAAAAAATCAAAAGTTGAAAAACTTT